TCTATGCAATTGATACATTTTAGACATAACAATTTTATTATTAATATTATTAAAATATATTTTTATTGAAATCTAATGAATGGTACAATAAATAAATAAAATAAATACAATATAATTATTCTATTAATTATTCTATTAAATCCTATATTATATAATACAATTAATTTATTAATCGTTATTATCTAGCAGCCAACAATATATTTTGCTCCAACAACACCTTGAATAGTTATTTGCTGTCTTTCTGGAATATGTCTCCATTTAATTTTTCTGTATGTCAAATAGTCAAAATTATCATCACAATTGTAATCATAATCTGATGATCCTTTATTATGGGCAAGTCTGACCATTTCTATACCATAATCACTATATAATTCACTATGAGAAAACCCATTTTCCAACTTTGATTGTCCGTTTGGTTCTACCATTTCAACTTTCAGACAGTAATGTTGTTTCCAAACAATTGCTGTGGCAGTAATTTGCATTGTGACAATCTTTTTTCTTTTGCTATTAATATCATTGTCTTTTATATAATTCGAACTTGGCCATTTTTTTTATTAATACAAAAGGATAACTATATGACCAATCATATTCCTTACTTTTAGGTGGAGGGAAGTTTTCAAATAGCAATTTAATGTGATCATGTATTATAAAAATTCCCAAAAATTGAATTCTGCGAAATAAATCTATTTTTTTGGAATAACGAGATAAAATACCATTACTAACTTTTAAATTGTTGTCTCTAATTATATCCATTACTATTTTAGATTCCTTATGAGGATCATAATAACATTCTGGAATTTCAACCCCATGAACAATTCCTTCTTTAATGATATTCTGTGATTTATATTCAGAGAATAAATTTTTGAATGCATTAATATGTTCCCATCTATCCTCCCAAATATGAATCGAATCTGTTAATGGATGTTGTTTAAGCAGATTATCTATAAAAAGAAACTTGTATTTTTTTGTAGATGCTGGAGGCTTTAGATCACATGGTTGACTAATTATATAATTATAATAATCAATGCCTAATTTTTTAACACTATTTTGACTATAAACAAGATTCCATTCAAGAGCCATATGAATTGGCTTAAAGCCTAAAACATCAAAGTGTAATCCTATATCCTCCAACATTTTAGTGATGGTCTCACTAAAAACTGCATAACAACGACCTGTCAGAAAAACCGTCAAACATTTTGGATCGTTCATTGATTCTTTGACATTGTCTAGTAGACCTTTATTCCACCATTCATTCCACTTGTTTGACTCTGTAGGCTCACCTAGATCCAAAGATCTTGAATCTTGATACCAACCTTTGCCATCTGTGTATTGGTTTAACAAAACTCCAATTAATGTTTTACTCCATAATTTTGGATTAGGCTTGGGTGATGCAAATAATGTCCCATCAAAATCAAAAATGTTGATACGAGTTATTGGTGACTTCAATCTTTCTAGATTCAAAGAATCACCACCATCAACTCCATTCAATGAT